TGTACAGTGATAGTTATGAGTCTTATAATCAATTAAGATGGTAAATTTTATAGTTATTGTATTAAATATACAAATTTTATTAGTAGTCGCTTATATTACAATGTTAGTTGTTAATTTATCGTGTAATATATTACCCTTAATCGTTTCATGTTAAGTTTTATTGATATATTTTAGCTGTCACCATGTGATGTTATATTGCATGAATAACTGTTAGCTTTCATGTTAAGATATTATCTTAGTTAGATAATGCATTTAACAGCTAGATGTTAACTTTCACTGTTAGACGGTAACTTTAAAAAATTAATATTTATTTGCGCTAATGTATTATATTTACATAAAATATGGTCACACTGATGTAAATGTATGAGCAAATGGTGAAGCAAACAAATCCAGGAAGCTATATTTGCATTGACCAGAATGAAGAAAGGTTTAGAAGACTATTCATATGTTATGTTGCTTGCATCGTTGGTTTCTTAAATGGATGTAGACCCCTATTATTTTTAGATGGGACCTTTTTGAAAGACAGATACAAAGGCATGCTCCTCAACGTCATAGCATACGATGGAGACAAAGAGATATTTTCACTTGCGTATTGCATATGCGATCAGGAAAATATAGATAATTTGAGATGATTCCTTCAAGACTTGTGGTACATATTGTATGAAAGGTCAACCCCATACAATCCTCCCCATCAATTGATAATTATTTCTGATGCCGACAAGGGGATTCGAGAAGTCGTGAGAGAATATTTTTCTGAAGCAACTCACTCAAGATGTATTCTGGACCTGGTTGAAAATTTTAGATCAAAGCTAAAGGGAAATTTGCTCCAAACTGCTTTCTATAATACACTATAGCGGAATGGAATGACTACATAAAGGAAATTTAGGAGATGTCTCCAGCTGCATATGAGATTGCAATTAATTACTCGTCAGAGCATTGGGCAAATGCATTATTCCCTGGCATTAGGTACTGCATTCAGTCATTATGATGTTTTGCAGTTGATGTTAACTCTCTCGCATATATGTTAAGTTTCCTTTCTATAGGTTAACTATGGTTGGTAGATGCTAACTTTCACCATTGTATGTTAAGTTTTGTGTTGTTATGTTAATTATAACTCTTAATGATTAAGTTTTGTAGTTACGTGTTAATATTATTATATATTGGATGCATCATACTTGTTATTTTATTTTTTAATGTTTGAAGATATGGTCATGTGACCTCTAATGTCGCAGAATCCTTTAACACATGGATACGTGAAGCTCGATTGTTACAAGTACTGTAAATGGTGGAGCATATCCGAAAATAAATTATGATTCGCATGAACAACATATGCATAATGGATGATAAGTGGACATGCTATCTTTGTCCTAAAGCTGAGCAGATTATTAGAGAAAATATGGGAAAAGGATATACTTTAGAGATTAAGCAATCTAGAGATGATATATTCGAAGTACAATCACATAGAACTACTCACGTTGATTTAGAGAAGAGGACATGCACTTGCCGAGCTTGGGATGTAACACGTATTCCTTGTGTGTATGCTTGTGCAGTCATTATTTATATGAAAAGAGATGCATATCAATATTGTGATTGGTTTATGTCCATAGAAGCGTTTACGAAGAGCTACGAAGAAATCATTTATCATATACCAGATTATGAGAAGAGGAGTGTGGCAAGAGATGAAACCCAGATTTTGCTACCAATTACCACTAAGAGGAAGAAAAAAAGGACCAGATGCATAAACAACCGAACCATTTACAAACATCCAGTGAAATATTCCCGATGCAAAGCTGATGGTCACAATCGAGCAACTTATAACGAGTCAATCGGTGATTAGTGTGGACTGCTTCTTACAACAATACTTTTGTTAGAGAAATATAGGTTGTCCAGAATTTTGCAGTATATTGTGGAAGACTTTTGTAATCTGTGAAGTTATAAGAATAATCATATTATTTATTGAAGTAATATCTACTGTAAGAATGTAAGATGTTTCGTGTAATGTACGTGTTTAGCTGAGGGATTCTGTTTGGGTTTCATGTTAATTATCTTGGTACTATAATAACTTTTAGCTAAAAAACTTTCAGCTAAAAAGATTAACTTTCAGCCAAAAATATTTACTTTAAAATTTTGATTGTTCTAACAGCTAGCTGACTATTCCAACGGCTAGCTGACTGACTGTTCCAACAGTCATATTCCAATGGCTAGCTGATTGTTCCCAATGTTATATATAGTATGAATAAAGTAATGCTACAACCTCACCAGCAATTATAGTATCCATTGATTCCCATTTTGAGATTGTGAGATGAATACATCGGAGGGGTCTCAAGCACTGGAAGAGGTATGTTGTTTCTGTAAAATTCCAACACCCCTCAAGCTGTGCAAAAATAGGAGGAATAAAGGTAGATACTTCTGAGGATGTGCAAAGTTCCCAAATAAGCAATGTAAGTTTTTTGCGTGGGTTCACGATGCTAATGCAATGAAGAAGAACATTCTAGTTTACTAAGAATTGCCTGTTGAAGAGGAGATAGCAGCCAAAACAAAATAACTAAGGAAAGCATTGAAGCAATCGAACTATGAAGTCGTAAAATGGAAATTTTGTTCATTCTTTCTATGTTGTTTTTGTATGGTTCTAATTTTACTAAACATTGTGATTTGTATATTAAAAATGAATTGAAGAAATATATGTTCTTATTGAAAACGAAATGATTATATGCTGCTACAAAGTTGATATTATATTATACTTCTAACTTTCTCCTCAATATATGTTCTAATTGAAAATGAACATGTTAACTTTCACCTGAATAAGTTAGTGTTCACTTGAACATGTTAGGCTTTAGCTCTTTACGCTAACGTTTACTGAAAATGATTAACTTTCAGTGGAATATGTTATCTTTCATAGGTACATGTCATCGTTCTTCATAACATGTTAACCTTTAGCAGAAAATGTTAACTTGACTGACGTACATGTTAAGTATTGGCTTTTCCTGTTGATATTCAGATGAACATGTAGTTTTTTTTCATTTGAACCTGTTAAATATATGTTGTATCAAAACAAAACGTAGATATATTGTGGCAAAAATACCAGAAATACAATAACAAAAGGAAAGTTTAAGCTTGATACATAGTTTGTCATCCACACCAACTGTTTATACAACTAAATTAATATACATAATATAAACATGCACACAAGTTTTGTTCTCATCCTTATTTGTTCAATCAATCAATTTTTAGAATAAGTTTCTCCCATCTTTATCTAATTTCTCTGCTTGATTCTTCTGTTCTCATCCTTCTAGAAGAAGTTTAGCTGCAAGCCGGGCACAGATGACGTCATACCCATCATCGGAAGTAGTTACTTGAATTGTATCAACCCCACGGATTATAACATTCATATATAAGGGAACGAAAAGCCCACGATCAAAAATACATGACATAAAGTCCAAAGCTAGTTAGATAACTGATGCTGGATAAAATGAAAAATATTACATTTGTGAAATACTAACATTCTAGTCTGTTGCTCGCAAGGGACGGCTTCATATCTGAACTTTCTCCAAACATTCTGGGGATCAAAACCAGACTTCATATAATCCATAAAACTAATTACTTTATTCACTGGTTCACTATACGCACTGTGACCAGCCGAGCTATAATGCTTAACAACGTCCTCATCCAACCTGACTTCAGCAACATGCTAGTGGTCCTGACGCACAAGGGGGATAAGGAGCATACTCTTACTTGCAGCAACATGTTTTGTATAAATGAAGTGTCCAAATGCGGAAAATCAAGAGTCTTTGCATAAAGACTATGTTGTATTGCTAAGAAGATAATGTTATGCCAATTATAAACAAGATGTAAAGATGGTTTTGGGTTTGAAACTAGTGCTTACGCAAAAGTAAGTTGATATGACCCCATAATTCTTGTTCAGGGAGGTAATTTTCAGTCTTTCTAGCCATGTGCTTATTCTATCTATCAAATCTTCCATGACCTATAAATTTACCATGCAAGAGATGAAAATTAAATTGCATAACATCACAACACAAAAATCTAGAAATGTATATATTTAACATATTAAACTTGCATGGTCATCGATACGGCCTCCACATAGTAGATTAAGAAGCTCCAAAGAATCAATACTATTGTTTAGCGTATTAACAATAATACACAACCTAAAATATAACAGTAAGGTAAAATGTTAACAGTTGCTGATAAACGTGCACATGTAACAGTGAAAGCTAACATGTTCGAGCAAACGTTAACATAAATGGACATAAGTTAACATATATCGGGGAATATTAACCTGTTATACACAAACATTAACATGAATGTATAAAAGATCACAGGTAATATGCAGTCAAATATTAATGAAAATTACTAAACTTACTGATGGGATTTCTGATTGTAAAAATTTGAGACTCATATGTTCTCATCTGGTGTGAGCTTTGCCGCTACATGATAGGATATTCTAAAGTTATGAACGAAGGTTCCTTCACTATCAACCAAGCGCATGCTAAAATCATCAACATTATGAATACCCTCATTTAGCAACTTCAGAAGAGCCTCCTCCTTCTTCTTGATTTTCTTGTTATTCGGAAAATCCCAGCTGCATTCATCAGGCTTACAGTAGTACCTAATTTTTTTCCTCTCATCATCCTTGTGGTGTGATATTGTAATTATTTCTGGACGAATTTTCTTCTTCTTTTCTTCAATGAATGGCGTTCGGACTAGCTGTGATCGCGTCCGAACCCTGGTACTTGGTCCCCTTGTCCTCTTTGAAGCTAATTTCTTCATCCTTCGATCTCTTCTGATAAACTTGTGCCTCCAGTTCGGCAATGGGTTTCTCAAAGGATGACTCTTCAACATTCTCCTTTTTCTCCACCTATTTACCTTCATCTTTCTTCTCTTCCGCTTTCTCTGCCTCTTTTTTCTTCTCCTCTTTCTCTTCTTCTTTTTTCTCCTCCTCTTTATCTTCCTCTCTCTTCTCTTCTTTTTTTCCACATTCTCACCATCCTCTTCTTCACCTTCTTTCTTCTCTTCAACTTTCTTCACATTCTCAACTTCCATTTCTTGTCAGTCTCCCTTCTCTGCCTCCTTTTCTTCTTGCGCAGCTTCTTGTTTTTTCTCTTCTATGTCATCTATTTCATTCTCCATTTGCACAACCTCCTCCACACTATGAGTAGCTGCCTTTCCAATATTGGTTACATCGTCATAATCGAAGCAACCAATATCATCAACCTCTATCAATAGTATCCAAACTATTTTTCCTCTTCTTATGTGCAACCTTTGTATGCATATCATTCTGGGCCATAATAGCCTTCACATTCTTTTTCAGGTCTTCGGGATCAATCAAATCAGCGGATCCTTCATAGATCTCTAATTTCTTGTTAAGCCGTTGTATCTCCTTGGAACAAGCATCCCATTGAATGTGCTTACTACGCTTGATAGCATGGAGTAATTTTAATTTAGTTTGACTGTATTCCTCCAAAAATGAATTTGCTCATCACTTGATAACTTCTCTATCTCATATTCTCTTTCAAGAGCATCACTGATATGTTGGGAGAAAATCTAAAAAAATAACCATATAGTCATTATAGTTATATAAGCAATGAATAAATTAAGAATAATAGTTATAAAAATCCATAAATTTTGAAATGTTAACATGTAAGGATGAAAGTTAACATGTCAATCTAAAAATTAACATGTACATAACTAAAGTTAACATGTAAGAATAACATATAACATGTAAGCATGAAAGATAACAATTAACGATAAAAGTTATCATGTTACACTAAGAATTCACATGTTCTGCTGAACATTAACATTTAACACTAACTCAATATGAAACAATGTACACTAACATGCCCAAAGAAAGTTAATATGAAACAATGCAAAATTAAATGTAATAATGATAAAGTTACAAAGATTTTCAATATAAATGTGCAAAAATATGTAAAGAATAATTGGTGCTTACGTAGCCTATGGATGAGCTCTTAGGTCTATCCTTCATCTTCTCTGGCTCATCATCCTTAACCTTTTCTCTTCTCCTTCTTCCTCTGCAGTGATTGCTCCATAGATTTACTTTTCTTCTCCTTCTTCCTCGGAGACAGGGAGATTCTTTTCTTTCCACGACGAGAGATATCATTCTCCTTCCCACCGGGGCTCCCTTTGAGGGTATTTCTCACCCAATGGGCTGCTGGGAGAAACTACCTTCTCTAAGATTTTAATGCTCGATTTACTTGCCTTGAAAACAATTGTCTCTTTCCTCAAAGATTCAGTTGTCCCTCCAACCCTTATCCAATTGGTCAACAGAGACTTCCATCTCAAGTTAAGGGTTGGTTTTTTAATGTCGGTAATCTCATAGTACCATAGCTATCAAAATAGAATGAATAAAATTTTAAGCTTTTATAAACTAGTAAAACTACGGATAACATGAAAAAGAAGAAGGAGGAGCAACAAATATTTGTCATAATTTTTCTTTCTAACTTTCAAAACTCTTTGTTCAACTTCAGTCTAAATAGCTAACTTTCACACTTAAAGGTTAACTTTCACTATTACATGTTAACATTCATGGGTACATGTTAACTGTCAAATCTTAATGTTACCTTTCATTTTCATATGTTAAGTTTCATGTTAACATGTTAATTTTTACCATATCTTGTTAAGATTCAATATCGTACATGTTTTCTGATGCATATTACCTAATCTGCTAATAACTAAAATAAAAAGCAAACCATATGAACATGCAACTTACAGGGATGAGTGGCGAACATCTAGGTACGTATGTAACCCCTGGCTTCCTCATTCCTTCCACGACAATCTGAATGCCTCTCTTCGTCTCATCAAAAATAAATTTACCCCACACAATATCTTCCACTCTCTTAATACTATCCACATATTGAAACAACTGTCTTGGGATATCTTGTGAGCTGTTAAGGCACCAAATCATTACACACTGGTACAAAATCTGAATCAAAACAAAATCCTCAACATCCTTCTTTGAGGTTAACTCAACTAGTGTCTCCAGTAACTCTTCAACATATCTCCTCATGCTACCAGCTTCTTCTTTATCTTTGACCTTTGCCTTTTCCTTTGCCTTGGCCTTTTGCATTTCTTTCTTCTCTTCAAAGTACTCCCTCCAAAGCCGGTTGTGAGGGTCTCTATTCTCATAGATCAACTCCCCATCAAGGGAAGCCCGTGTGAGTCTGCACCCACTCTTCATCAAATTTGACTGAAAATAACGACCCGCTTTTGGAATCGGGAAAGGAGAATTCATCATTTTTGCGAACATAATGACATAGCACATGCTCTAGTGCTCATCAATCACGTGCTGGAGATCCGAACAATACGTAGTGCTCGAAGTTACTGCCCTTATAAGCATCCCAATGCCACTTCTTTATTCTTGATTTAAGTTTCTTCATGAAAGTATAGTACGATCCAAAACATGTAGTAGGCCTTATATCACCTACAACATCAATTTTCCTACATAAACAAATATTTACTCTTAACAAATGGTTCAAATTCTTACTATCCTTTATACTTATTAACATCAGCGGCAAACATTATCATTAAGGGTTAAAACTTATCAACCTTTTATGACAGTTAATACTTACGGTTGAACATTAACAACACTCAACTTTCACTTAACATCTGTTCCTACAAGTTAACATTCGTTTATGAAATTTAATATCTAATGATGAAATATGTATGTATAACAGTAAACATCAGTTACTTACTTTTTCCATGTAATGCTATCACTTTAAATTTTAAAATTGATGTACAAGCTATACTTCTCAATATATAATATATGACAAAATCCAATTGTAAATATTTGCATACTTTTCATAATTGATGGATGTGATTGTATATTATAATTCATATGCTATGATTATACTTCTCAGTATATATTACATGATAATATAACACAATAAGCTAAATTCCACACAATGAGCTTATATGTCATACAATAGGTCTACACTTCATACATAATAGTTTCACTTAGATTAATAAAATAATTCTACAAATAAGGTCGCCATTTTATCCACTTTTAATATCAATAGATTGAATATCAAACGACAATAGTTATGACCTTAGCCTAGCAACAAATGATTACTATTAACATGATTTCAAAATAGGTAACAGTTAACAGTAAATGCATTAACTTAGTAAAAGTCAAGATTTATTAACATGAATAGCTAGTAATTGATACTTAAGGCTAAACGTTAACAACAAATGAGAATTATTGACATGCATTGCTAATAGCTAACAACAAATGAGAATTATTAACATGCATTTCTTCAAAACGATTATACTCGATATTATTCATATCATACTCCCAAATTAAGAAACTAGTTCTATACTACAATAACCAGTTTCTCACTACCATTTTTTCATAATTAGAACCCATAAACCTCAATCACATTTCAAAAAAATAAACTGTTAACTTTCTTCCCTTTTTTCCCGCTCATATTTTCACCTAACATCCAACACCATAATTTTACAAATTACTTATAACGAAAATTAATTAAATTCAAAAACACTCAATTGATTAGGAACTTACTTCTTCTTAGAGATGGGCACATCCTCCGGCGAGCATCTCCTCTTGCGGTCTCGAACTTGCGGTCCCCTTTTCATGCTCAATAGGATCACCGTTGCCTCGTTACTCTCCTTATCCTCAGAGGATGTCAGAGGAGAACCGTCGGCGGAAGATATGTGGGCAGAAATAGAGGCGGAGGAGGATATTTTTGGCAGATCCTCCTTCACCAGTCGCGCCGAGCGGCACTGGTGATGAACCCCTTCAATTTGGGTGTTGTCTCCTTCACCCTTCTCCACATTAGGGTACTCGGTCATTTTCCTTGAAATTTTTAGTCATTTTTAATAGATTTACTGGACCCTTGAGTGTAAACTAGGGTTTCAAAATTGGGTTCTCGAGATGACGAACATTTGAGGAGTTTCCAGCATGAGAAGAGAGAAGAGAGAAGAGAGAGAGAGAGAGAGAGAGAGAGAGAGAGAGAGAGAGAAGAGAGAGAGAGAAAAGATAAGAGAGAAGAGAGAGAGAGGGGGGGCAAACAAGTTTTGTGGGGAACAGTTAAGGGCATTTTAGGATTTTATCAAAAAAGTTTCTCCCTGTGCTGTCTTGGAAAGGTAATTAGGGGCTGAAACACAACTATTTTATGTATTGGAGGCTTTGACACACAAAAAATAATACGGGGACCTTGTCACATCCACTTTATTTTTTTTGGGGTCTTGACACATTTTCCCTTTTTTTTCTTTTTTGAAATGAGTCTTTAAAATCTTGGAACAATTATTTAATCCAATTAAACCCTATTAACCTAAAGTTTTACCCCCAACTTATTTTTAAGTCCACCAACTTTCAGAAACACCCTTCAACTGAAAACACTAAATTCTATTATTTGTAAACCTCTTCAACTGAAAACGCTAAATTCTATTATTTGTGAACCTAATTATCTACAACATATGTACACGTCAACAGTTTAAAATACTCAAAATGCTCTCTTCTTCTTCCTTTATAATTAATTGTTGATGATTTCCTCGATAATGACCAAAGCCACTTAATTTTGTTGATCGTAGCCGGGCTCTGCAAAACCCCCTTCCACAATTGTTGTGTGTTTGGGTCAACATCTAGCAATGCTAATGGAATGTCCGTAGGTATAGAGATAGGTCATGTGCGGGAGAGTATTTGGAGAGGGGTCATGATTTTATTTTAGCGCAGATGGTGTTTAATTAAATGTATAATGAAAATATGGTTTCATAGACTAGTCTTAATAATATATATTAGTTTCTTACGCACAAGGTGTTTGACAGTGTGAGGGATGTTATGCTGAGGATGATCAACAATCGAGAGCCTTTTCATAAGAATCAACTTTGTCGGATGGACTTGTATTGCCATTATGTCTTCCGAGAGATTTGAAGCGTTAAAAAAGTGAATTTGGAGGTAGTTGTGTATCGAATTAGGAAAGTGAATGAGAGCTCGTTGTAGGGGTAGGCATGGGCCAGAGAGGTTTAGGCCCATGACCTGACCCGTCGGGTTTAAGGCCGAACCGGGTCTAACTCGGGACCGCCCGGGTCAAAGTGGACCGGGCCTACTTCTCCGATCCCATGTTTAAAATTGGGCCCGACCCAGCCCACTACCCGTTTAAGGGCGGGCGGGGTCGTGCCCGACCAACGGCCCACGAGTGATATGTATACACACACAAAGATAAACATCACACAGAAAAACATCACAAAAACAAAAATATACGTGGTTTGGACTTTGAAGAAAAATCTACGTCCATGAAAAATTAATAACTTTTCTTTAGTTTGAATTTGAATTACAAATACAAGAGCAAAAAAGAAAAAGTATGTTAACCATTAATGTTCAAGGAGCTCCGCTAAGTTATATTCGACAAATTCTTCAAGCAAGACTTTGTTTGCTGTTTTTGTGATCTTTTTTTTGCATCGAGCCAAGTCAATGGTGAGCTGGACATGTTTCTCTACTCCCGAGTCTGGGGCTAGACCCAGCCCGGCCGACGTCCCAATTACATCCCGGACCAGGATGTGGCCCATGACATGCCGGGCGGAGTCATCCCGCGGGCTGAGGTCGCCCATGGCCAACCTTAGCTCAACCTTAGCTCGTTGTGTACGGTCAAGAGATTTGAAAGCCAAAGATATAAAAAAATACGCAAAAAAAGGTAGCGGGGAGCTGGTCTCCTCGTGTTCTCCCCCCCAAGCTCCTCGATGTTTAGCAGCGAATGATCGAATCTTTTTTGTCCTGAGTTCACCTTTTGATAATCGGGGTTCAGCGATGACGGCAAGGTGTTCGACGAAATGTCCCTCAGAGAATAAAATACGCAAAAGATTCTTTCCTTCGACAAATGGGCTGCCTCTTTGTACATAAACAAAGCAAGATTAGTCAATTTTATTAACATAACTGATGACCAAAAAGCGAGACGCAGCAGAGCACGATGTTGAAGGCACCTCTCTTCTTCCTTCTCTTCATCGCTTCATGTCTCGGTCAACCACAGGTCAGTTTACTCCTCCTCTCTCTCGCTCTCTGGCTCTCTCTCGTTAAATTTTAGCAGACATACTCATGTGGGTTTCATGGGATTTTTATTTTTTTTTTGATTGTTTGATGTGCGCAGGTTTATATAGTGTGTTTGAGAGATCACAGGGGGTTAAAGACAAAGCAAGAAATCCATGATCATCACCTTTCCTATCTTCTCTCTGTTAAGAGCAGGTTAAAATCGATCCTAGCCGGGTTTAATTTTGTGTATTGTTGGAGTAATTTTTATTCGTTGCGATTGTTCAGCGAGGAGGAGGCAAGAAAGTCTCTGCTGTACAGCTACAAGAACAGCATTAATGGTTTCGCCGCAATCCTGTCGGAAGACGAGGCTGCGCTGTTATCGGGTGGAGATGAAATCCAACATGTGCTCTCTGTTGTTTTTCCTGATTCTTTGTTTTGCTTCAAGTTGCGGGTTTTGATCACTTGTTTGCAGGGATGGAAGGAATGTTTTATGCTTTCCCAAGCCAAAGGAGGCATTCTTTGCAGACAACAAGGACTTGGGAATTTATTGGGATTGAAGAGGGGTTGGTGGGTCAGGAAAGGGATCGGATGCCGTCTCAAGCAAAATATGGGGAAGATGTGATAGTTGGAGTGTTGGATTCTGGTAAGATGTTTTAGAGTACAGGATATGCTTTTTTTTTTTTGGTTAATTGCCTCGGATGCTTTTCTCCATTTGCTGCAAATTGGTGTTCAGTTATTGGTGTGATTATTTGGTGCTGGCTCTATAGAAGCTAAGTGAGGCTATTCAATTGTTACTAGATTTAGTTTGATCTTAGTTTTACAATTTGTTAGGTATAATCATGTCTAAGCCGCCCTTAGTTTGTCTTCTAAACCACTTGCTGTTGGTGGGCTGATAGCTTACACCTGATGTGTGTGTGTGTATGTCACGAAGAACATGTAGTCAATACCAAGCTCTTTCAATACAAAACTTGATACAATTAATGTCTGCACGTGTTGGTAGTCTCCATACTCAGTTACTACTATTTTCCTTGATATCCGATAACCAAAACCTTGCTATAGAGTCGTGAGTATGAAACTGTTAATGTGAAAACCTCGAGAGATTATTAGCTCTCTCTTGGATGTTATTAATAGTGTTTAGGGAAACAACGATGTTTGTCCCTAACCAATGCGGGTCTAGACAACAAGGAATAAACAACTCTCTCAACACTACCCCTCAAGCTGAGCATACATATCGTGTATGCCCAGCTTGTCACAAATGAAATTCACTTGTGTTCTCCCAAGAGGTTTTGTGAGAATGTCTTCAAGTTGATGCTCTGATGGTTTGTACTTGGCTCTAATTATTCCCTTCTTCATCTTCTCACAAATTAAGTGGCAATCAATCTCTATGTGTTTTGTCCCTTTATGAAACACCAGGTTCTCAGCTATATGAATTGCGGACTTGTTATCTCCATACAAGCTCATGAGACACTCCGGAGGATAATCAATCTCTGTTAGTATATCTCTAACTCAGATCAGCTCGCAAGTCAAATTCGCTATGACTTGATACTCAGACTCAACTGTAGATCGAGAGATTACACTGTTTCTTACCCTTCCATGATATTAGATTTCCTCCAAGAAATACAATACCCAGTAGTTGACCGTCTGACGTCTGACGTCTATCCTCAGAGGATCCTGCCCAATCTTCATCTGAGAATCCTGCAACTCTTATGTGACCGCTATCTGAATAGAGCACTCTATTTCTTGAAGTTTTCTTAAAATATCTAAGAATCCTCTTCACAGCTTTCATGTAAGATTTTCTAGGTGCCGAGAGAAACTGACTAACTAAACTAACAGAAACACAATGTCTGGTCTCGTAATTGTTAGGTAGTTTAGTTTTCTTACAAGTCATATGTATTCTTCAGTATCCTCCCCTAACTCGCCCTGAGCTAGTAGCAGTTTGACCTTGTTATCTATAAATGAGTCAGTGTCCTTTTAACAAAACTTAGTGGTAAGACACCCATTAGTGTTCTCCGAATTAACATGACTCACACTCTAAGGACTCGACATGATTCAAATCTGAAATCAAAGTTTTAAGAATCAAAAGAGGGGGATGACGAAACCGAAAATATGCACCAAAAGCTGATGTGGAGCTGATATAGGCTACTGGGCTGAGAAAAATCCAGCTCACACAAGTCGTTCCGCTCACGTTCAGTGTCAATCGTCTTACTCATCCTAAGTGCCTAAAAATATAGTGTGTAGGAAAAAATATTTTCGTGCGGTTTAATGCTCTAGTAATTCTACTAACATATAAGAGATTAAATAGAAAGCGAGGAAGATATAGCACAAAGGAAAGTGGAATAATACTAATATTGGTAGATCTAACACTTTTTACAAGTGTAGTGGATCCATCAGCCAATACTACTAAAAAAAAGAGGTGGTAATTGTGTAGGAGGATAATATACCTCGGTTCTCAGTCATATGATTAGTTGTCTCTAAATGTATAACCAAAGTTCAAGACAATGATGTTGTAAAGCAAATAGTGGTTTTACCTGACTGAGCAAGTTTAGCTGTAGCAAGAGAGGATTGTGTCTTCTTAAATTGCTAAAATAACTGGAGCTAAAATTGCTCAAGCTGGCGGCGGGTGTCATCACCTATAAGACTCTCCTATGCTACCACATGTGCGCTCTGAGATTGTTTTCTTTGTACTTGAGAACAATCAAATTTCATATGATCCGGCTCATTGACAATGGATAGAGGAACTAGATGAACCCTCCCTAACAATTTGTGAACTATCACCTCGTCCCCACGTGCCCAAAAGCGTCCTCCACGTCCACTAAGGCGGCCTCAACCACGACCACTCCTCAACTGGTCGACTATCTACTCTTTGTGGCGAGACATACTAGTTGGCAAACTCTGCTATAGTACTTACTGGTGCTACTACACTACTGACCTCAAGAAGTAATGTCTCTTCTAATGAGCATATAACAGAGCTTCCAATAACCTATGGTCATGCTCAATGATGAGACTATAGAAGAGAACCAAGAAAGGTGAATATCATCAATTGATCCCACTACGAGGAAAATCTGTCTTAGCTCCTCTGCAAGGTGATTAAAGTTGCCATAGTGCTCCTCAAAAGTCTGTCTCTGCTTGTCCATCTTGCTTTGAAATAACTACTACATAACATCATACAATCGACTGGCGTGACCACGGCTTGAGTGCAATTGCTCCAAAAATTTCATACATGTTTCCCTGTATTACAGTGAATTTCTAGCTGAAGGACCTATAAATCTATGTTGTTCCAAATTTGATGAAGTATACTAGTGTCATTTTGTTTCTAAGAGGCAGTAACTGGTAGGGGAGTCATCTGTAAGATGATAATCCTTTCCTTGACGTGAAACATAAACTTGAACAAGTTGCTCCAAAAGTGGATAATTTGACCCATTTAATTTTTGGTCAGTGGTCTTGTTAGAGAGTACTTCCATGTAGGTCTTCATCTCAACTCTCTCGTCCACCGAAATAGCAGAATCACCTAAAGACGCCATCAACATAGCAAATAAGATCCTTCAACTATTAATCTTTCGGCAACTAACTATCAACCTCACCCAACAATAAATCAATCTCTAATAATCAAATCATCAATAAGTAAGCACCCTCACAACAAGCAATCAGTCCACCAAGTACAACCATCTTGCAAAGTCGGTTTCTTCGAGAAAAAACGACTTACCGTTTATCTCAAAGAGATTTTTAACAACTAATCATTAAGATAAAGCTAAATGATTAGCTCCAGATCTATAAAGATCTAGTCAGTTAAGTCAAATGATTAGCTTAAGATCACACACACCATCTTGCAAAGTCGGTTTCTTCGAGAAAAAACGACTTACCGTTTATCTCAAAGAGATTTTTAACAACTAATCATTAAGATAAAGCTAAATGATTAGCTCCAGATCTATAAAGATCTAGTCAGTTAAGTCAAATGATTAGCTTAAGATCACACACAC